TACAAAGTCATCTTCTTGGGGTTCTGTTCCTCTTAAGCCACAGTTACTTGAAAGGAATCTCATACTGCAACCTAGCCATTGTGAGTATCAGTACAACTCTCCTGGTCAGCAGAATGTGATTTACATCCATATCTGTTTCAGAATTGCTTTCAGTGCCCAGCCCCAGTCAGGGGGCTATCTACCAACCATCAGGTCTATCTATATGGATAACTTCATACTTCAACAAAATAGTTTCACTCAACTTAAATCTGATCAGAAATGGTGTTTCAGCCTCAATTTGTGACAAAATACTCAAGTTTACATTGTTTGAATGTCAAATAAGGCAAATTCTGTAGCTTGACATATCTAGAGTGATGGATATATAGGAAGTGAAATTTTCAGGAAAAAAAGAAAGCCCCCAAGGTGAAAAAAAAACAAAAACCAAATAGGCTTTAGCAGCAGTGGTTTGTATTCTGTGAGTTTGTCACACATGGATGAAATCTGGGACAGGAAACTGACTTGTCATACTGAAGGACTCCCAGATAGATGACAAAGATGACAAAGTCTTAAGTACTGAAACCCTTTAAGTTAGAACCATCTGACACAGACATAAAAACAGCAACTCCTCCTGAGCAAATAAACAGTTCATCTATTCATTTGGTAACTTAAGCAGCCCATTCTCACCAAGGACACAAATGGACTATAATATTCCTAATATTTTTAAGTCATGAACACCCTCTTTTTCATACTGTCCTGTCTTCCATTAACAACTGTATTTGCTGTTTCAGAGTCTCACAAAGCTTACAGAATTGCAACCAAAAAATAAATAAATAAATGAGAAAAAGATTTTTTTTTTCTTAATCAGCTTAACAGATAAGGAAAAAGAGGCTCAGAGAGTTTGTGACTGATCTAGGGTCACATGGGCAAACAGGGAGAGTCACAAGGAAAAGCAATGAATACGTATAGCACATCCAAGAAGTTAAGACAACCTCTACAGCAATTAATTTAGGGAAGATAGACAGAAGAAAATGAAAAGAATGGATCAAACCCCAAGACAATATCCTCAACCAAATAGTAATTGATTTTGCTAAATATACATTCCAGATAGCTGCTAAATGGTACAGAGTCCAAAGCCTATGCAATCTTTTGGTTGTTTCTCTACATACCTTTGAACAGTTCCTTGACAGTTTGCTACTACCAAAGAAACAGGACAGTTTTCCTTCTTCCTAAAATTCATCACCTACTCAGCATTTAACTACCAGTGGATGAAGTCTGCATCATTAACAAACTCTCAATACTTAGGTTTTTAACTTACACTGAAAAAACTTCTTCCACATTTTGGTGTATTGGGAAAATGTCAGGTTTTCCCACTTTCTCTAAAAAGATGAATAAACCTTTTGAAGTATAAAAGGAAAGGCTCAAGTTGCAAATCCAAATCATTTAAAAGCTGTAAATTTTCAAAACTTTAAATGAATACTTAGTAAGGAAGGGAAAAAAGAAGAGTTTAGGTAAACTTCGGCACTGTTAGCAGGCTAACGATTAAAGTGTGAAACCTTTACAGCATCAACCCTCAGAGCTGTGTGAGGGAACACGTGAAGTTCTGATGGGAATTGTCACATATATTGAAATCACTCATGTCACTGATCTCACTAAAGCGTTATGCTCAATTAGGGTGTATGCACTTAATGAACAGAAGGAAGTATTCCTGTTGAAGCAATTCCTGAACACAGCTAATTGGACCTAACAAATCATACATAGAATCATAGAATCATAGAATCATAGAATCGCTTGGGTTGGAAGGGATCTCAAGAATCATCAAACTCCAACCCCCTGCCACATGCAGGGCCACCAACCTCCCCATTTAATACCAGCCTAGGCTGCCCAAGGCCCCATCCAACCTGGCCTTGAACACCTTCAGGGACAGGGCATCCACAACCTCTCTGGGCAGCCTGTTCCAGCACCTCACCACTCTCATAGTAAAGAACTTCCCCGACATCCAACCTAAATCTTCCCTCCTTCAACTTAAAACCATTTCCCCTTGTCCTGCCATTATCTACCCTTCCAAAGATTTGGCTCTCCTCCTGTTTGAAAAAAAAAAAAAACAACAACCAAACACAAAAATCTAGGGAACAAAAAATTTAAGACTCCAAAATCAAGAAGATTGAACAATGCAGTTTTCTGCAACTCATTTTAAACAGCTTAGTATGAATTTTCCATCCTTTTTGCTTCTCTTTATAATTGGTAAGTTCTTTAAATATTAAGATTTCTCCTCCCTTCAAATTCTTCCAATTGTTTTCCCCCCTCTCTGCTTTCTAATCAGAACACTTTCCCTCTCAAAAGACCTTTTTCTTCTTCCTAAAATTTCAGGTCTCAAGAGTACAAAACCACTGCAAAACATTACAGCAGAAAATTCTTCATTCCCTGTACTTCTGGGCTAAAAGATTTCAGTAAATGAAGTAAATATTTTTACTAGAAAGCTCCAAAATACAGTTCCAAAAAGGTGCAGTTAGTACATAACATCTCTTAGATCAGGGATGGTCAAATACTTTCAAATCTCATTAATAAATAGCCAATATAAACTAATTGGCTTACACGTTCTCCTCACTTTATTTAGGTACTTGATAACAACAGCTCAATCCATTCTGATTGGATTCAGTCACTTAAAATACACTATTTTGTTCTGTGACCTCTTTGCCAGCCATGTTTACTGAGGCAAATGCAGTAAGAGAGAGATATTTTCCAGCGGATTAGGAAAATAAAGGTTTAAAACTGTAAGTGAGCTTTTCTGTAGCTGGAAGCCACAGCAAAACCTTACGAGACATATGGAATACCTGATGTATGAGATTGGCCTGCTTTTATACACAGCTTCCATGGTACAGGCTTACACAACAATACATACAGTTTTGGAGATGACAGTGTCTTGCAGCACCTGGCTTCACTGCAGTCACTGCACGCTATTGTTCAGAGACAGAAAGGGAGGCTTGATGTAAACCCCTGACTGAATCACTTTGACCGCTCTCCATACTTTCATAGGACCGTGGCTGAACATCAAAATAGTTAATTTTATTTTGAGCCATTGAGTAATTAGAGAAAAAGGAAAACAGCTCAATTTAGCAGTTCGGCAATATCTATGATGGGACCGAGATAAAGCACAAAGCAGATCGTCTGGTAAGTCAGGAAGGCAAGTGCTGGGAGCAGTTGGCTTGGTGAGAAAACTGAAACATAAACATTGCGAAAGAGACATACGCAAAGTGTTTATCAGACTGAAATAGATGCTAAACAGAACTAAAAATAAGAATAGAAGTGCAGGGACCTACTGCTTTTCAGAATGAACACCTTTGCAACGCACTGCAGCTATTAATTGCCATATGCTCCTGTTAAAGTTTCTCAGACACTTTTATGCTGAGCTGCACCTTCCAGTGTCAAGCCAATGACAGGGACGCTTCACAAAATCATCAACACATCACCGGCATCAGGCATAAGCAGCTGTCATGCTGCTCAGTGCAGTTTAAAGGCTCACATCACCATCTGGGGCAAATCCTTTTGAGTGCCCCTTCTGAGGAAATGCAGGTTTTCCTGTTCTGGATAAGCACAGTAAATTAAGAGTGACTTGGCCCATCAAGGATGCTTTGAGCTTTGAACCAGCCATGATTATTTTGTATTCCTTTTTACCCACATTCCTCAAAGATGAACGGAAAACCTGTTGTCCCAAGAACTAAAAAAGTGTGGATTTTTGTCCTTAAGCTCAGGTCTCATAAAATACTTAAAAAATTTCACTGTCAGGTGTCTGCAATACGACAACAATGTAAGGTGATGGAGAAAGTCCTTCACTTCTCCGACCACAGAAGAATTAAAACACACATATTTGAATTAATAGCTAGATAAATGAAAGAGATTGCCATATTTCATGTCTACTTTTTTAAACTTCAATGTTGCTAGTTCAGTTTGGGTGCTGAACACCTGATATCATTCTGCAAACCATTAGCTTTACAGTTTTGTTACACTCTGTCTCATGCACCACCAGCACTGTGCATCCCAGTGGGGGCTGTTACTCACCAGAATCAGTCTGAGATCAAGATACTGTCTTTCTCCCTGAATTTCAGCACGTGCTGCTACAGTAGCAATAAGGGAGAAAGTCAATAGGAATAGGAAGTCTGCCTGACCTCTGTGATCCTTGTGTGTTCCTTCCAACTTGGGATATTCTATAATTCCATGACATTACACAAAGGGGAGTACCAGTGCGTATGTACACCCCATGCAACAAGGTGAAGATATCCCAGACAAGGAGCTGGGAGAATCCAGCTGGAAGGCAGGGAACAGACCTGGAAGAGAACAGCATCAAGGGATTTGTCCTTCTGAACCCAGAAAACGAGCACAGGCTCACTGCTGTTCCCAACAAGATGAGCCAGCAGTACCATGTGGGATGACTGCAGAGAGTTTCCTGCTGTCCTGCAGAAGTAGGAGCTGAACGAGTATCCCACGGGCAATGCCTGCAGCTCGAAGTCACCCAGCTCACGAGCAGAGCACACCTCTAGTTGCTGGGTCACGGATTCAGGTAAAACCGACTTACAGGACACTTAGGTTGGTTAACTACCTGCAAAGTTTACAGCACTTCATAGGTCGGTATGGTGAGCACCCACAAATCTAAGCTCCTCCGTGGCTCTGTGGTGATCCCTCCCAGGACCTGACTCTGGTGTCACTGCTCCCAGCAAGGCACCCTGCCGGCCATCGTCATCTCGAGCTGTCCCGGGAAGGAGGGATGGCTCTGGGAACACAGAGCCGTGGGGCTTCAACCGAAAGCTCACGGCCACAGCCTGGCACTATCCTCCTCCCCACGCGTATACTAAGGGGACTTTTTCCCCATCACCAGAAGGAGCCCTCTCTCGCTTCCCAGCGCATCCTGCGGCGCGGTGGAAGAAGGCAACCCGCGTACGGCACACAAAGCCCTTTCCCCGGCCGGCCAACGAGTGCAGCCCCCGGTAGGAGAAGGCAGAGCCGCCCCGTCCCGACCCCGCGCTCACCCGCCCGTCTCGGCTCCCGAATCCCCGCAGTCCTCCTCGCCGCCGCGGGGCTGCTGCCGCTGCATGCTGCCAGCTCCCGGCTCGCTCCATGCCCGTCGCCGCTCCGCCGCCGTCTGTGGGAGGCGGTGGCTCTCGGCACCGGCCCGCCCCGGCCCGCCCGCGCGGGGCTCGGGGCCGCTCCCTCGGCCCGGCCTCCCGCCGCCGGGCTGCCCGCTGGGTGCCGCCACGGGACTGGGGGCGGTTGCGGCCTACGTGGGGCGGGCCGCGCGGTTTCGCTGAGGCCCCTCACTGCCCTCTCCGGGCGCTCGGTGGCCGCGTTCGTGTGATCGCTTTGAAACTGCGCGTGGAGACAGACGCGCAGAGGTTGTCCGGGCGGCAGTAACGATGAGAAAGTGAGGCGGTGCAAAACCAGTACGTGGAGTGATTCCTGTGAAGAGCTAGCGGTGTAGCAAAGGCTACCAGCAGTCATATGCACTGAGGTGGGACTGCAGTGAGAAGTTCACAGATCACTGCACAGCTGAGGCTGGCAGGACCCTCTGGGTGCCTCCACTCCATCCCCTGCCCCAGCAGGGACATCCAAAGCAGGGTGCACAGGGCCATGTCCAGGCAGCTCTGGGAGATCCCCAAGGAGGAGATCCCACAGCCTGTGGGCAGCCTGTGCCTGTGCTCCGTCACTGCACAGCACAGAAGGGCTCCTGGTGTTCAGAGGGAACCTCCTGTGCTCCAGTTTGTGCCCATGGCCTCTGGTCCTGGCATTGACACAGCCTGGCTCCAGGCTCTGGCACCCTCCATCAGGTACTTACAGACACTGATGAGATCCCCGAGCCTCCTCTTCTCCAGCTGAGCAGCCACGGCTCTCTCAGCCATTTCTCACAGGAGAGGAGTTCCAGGCCTTTCTTCATCTTGGTGGCTTTTTGCTGGACTCTTTCCAATATATCCAGATCTCTCTTGTACTGGGGGGCTCAGAACTGGAAACAGTACTCCAGGTGCACTGCCACCAACTCTAAGTAGAGCGGAAGGATCACCTCTCTGCAGGCAGCTCCCATGTTCCCCACATCCAGCATATCTGGAGGGGAACACTTCCCTGTTTTTCCCTCACACTGAAGTGGAAATATTCACCCATGTAGGTATAAACTGAGATCTCGCTTGGCAAAATAATCCATCATTCTTTAATCCACGTGGTTTAAAGTAGAAAAATTGTGAAAATCTCAAAATCATAAAATACGAGACTGGACCAGAAGTTTTGTGTACCACACAAAACAAATCTTATTTTGGAGTAAGAAGTGCTAGGTTTCCATTAGTACTTTTTAAGCTATACTAGTACTTGTACAACATTAATGTCCCTCATACATTTGTGCTTGCCAGTGATGCAAGTATACAGTCATGTATACTGCATGTAGTAGCTCAAATGAAGAGTGATCAAATGAAGGGCTCATACAGGGCATAGTTCATGCAACTGTTTTCTCCAAATGTTTGTGCCTGTAGTTCTCTAAAATATTCTATACATAGGTAGGAATTCTGTGAAATTAGAGGAAGATAGAACAGCTTGAGAATAGCTGCAAAGCTGGGTTAGCATGCTGTAGGAGCAATATACCTAGCCCAGATTGCCCACTGTGAAATCAATGGTTTCTCTACCAAATCTTGCTGCAGAGCTTGTGTGCAGTCTTGTGGCCTCTCAGCATCACAGGTCAATCCACCACATGTCCATGGTCTTTAGAAGGAACTTTCAATCTCTACAGTTCATCAGCAGTTAGAAAATAAAATGTTCTGTTGTATAGGAAATTTGGTATTTAAACAATTTTGAGTATCTGGTTTGATTTGCATGCATGTCATTTTGAAGGCAGTAAAAAATATTCTTTAGTTTATATGAAGGATTTCATTTAAATTTTGCAATAAATATAAAGTTTTATGTAATAGAATAAACCCCTTTGATTAGAGTATTTATTCAGTCTTTTCCCAGCCAATTTACTTGAAGTTATTTAGACAAAATCCTGTAAAAAGTACTCATACACAACTCTGCTGTCCTTCAGAACATAGGGAAAAAACTTCTGTCCTTCAAGACTGCCTTCCATCTAAATCAATTTACTCATATACATAAAATTAAATGCATCCAATTTCTTCTAGGATTGGGACCAAAATGCTGTGCTTTCAGCTTGTCGAATCATCGTTTTCAGGTAAGAGGCATTGGTAAGTTTTCAGATACTGTGTGTGGCTAAATGATTCATCCAAGGAAAGAGACTGGCAGAACTGATGCAAAAATCCAGTGAATCTTGATTCCCATCTTGAGCCTCTATTTTGGGAATAGCTAAATATTTATTCTTCAATAATTGCGATAGGGATGGAGGATTCTGAGCCCCCTTAGGACGTGTTTTGGAGGCATTTATATTATTCTCTATTACCAGGGCTGAACAGACTTTGCTGTCACTTAGGCTACACACGTACATTTATTTAGTTAATGCAACGATGTTTAAAAGCAGGTCACTTCCACTCACTTTTAAGCATGATTTCAAAGTGAAATAAATTGACTGTGGCCACTGTTGAACTGATTTAAGATGTAACCAAACCTCCTTAAATATTTAGAAATAGGTTTAGTTAAATGGATACATTTCTGTACGTTAAATTTTAGGTGGTCAGCTAATAGATCTTTTCCATCTCTGACTTTTATTATTCTAGTTAGTAATGTTTAAGCACTGGCATATGAGAGGATCTGGAATAGATTTTATGCTGCATTTAAGATTAATTTATCCCATCTGTCCCAGAAAGGGAAAAAAGAATCATTCTAAGGAAATATATAATTAAGATAGTAAGTAAAACTACCGCAAACTCCAGGCTCTCTTATTTATACACTTCCCTCATTTAACTCTGTTTTATTCTGTCTCTAACATAACCATGGTGAAAAGGAGACTTTTCTGCATCGAATTCCAAGCATTTCAGAGATTTTAATGAATGAGGTGCTAAGTCTTAGCCTTTCGTTAGCTTTTCTGTTACCTGTGTTTCACATTAGGTCCTCTGTATGGTCTGTTGAAAAGAGAGGTTAATTTTTAATGACTTTCTTGCACTTATGTGGCTGTGATATTGGTTTAAAGATAAGGCATATAAGATAAAGATAATAATACAAGCTGTTCATTAAAATGGTTTAGTAGCAGTGCTCACAAAATATCAGCAGAATTCTTCAAAGAAACCAAAGAAGTAAAACCCTCTCCTGTTGAAATCAAAGTGACACTGAGGATGTGCAGACCTCCCCCTCATTGCTCATGCACTGGTCTGAGCAATTAAGAGCAGGGTGCAGAATAGCGCTGGCTGCAGCCAGATAAAGGCAGAGTGGGAACCTGAAAGCTGAACCATATCAGTTCATACGCAAGCTAAAACAGAGGAAGAGGCAAAGCATCAATTTCCCTGATGGATCCACACCTGGATTCAGATTTCAATCTCTTTTCTACTCTCTGCCTGCTGGGCTATATCATCTGTCCTGCACGAGCTGGAAGGATGGAATGTGTGCTGTAGGGTTCAAGGCTGGCTCTCAGCACAAAGAAGAGTAAGAGAAAAAGAGGTGGCTGCACTGTGTTCACATGCATATGGATTTCCTACTGATCAGGGTATCGTGTATGGGATATCTCTAGCCTCTACCTTTTATTTCTTTTTATACAGACGCAGAACTTTACTACAGGGTAGAGAGAGAGGGCAAAAATATGTCCCATCTGATTAATTTAAATTGTGATGCAGGGGCACTCTGCTGGGAAGAAGCGTCCTCAATTCAGTTCTTTTCATGCAGCATTTTGGCTTTCTCCATTTTTTTTTTTTTTTTTTTTTTTGTGATGCTCCAGAAGAAAAGAAAAGGGTCAGTTGGCACTGCAGTTCCTTCTGGCATTATACCATAAATTACAGAGTCTTTATAGTTCTTGAAAGCAAGAAAAGATATCTTGCTTAGAGGATTCTGGACTGCTGATAAAGGCAAGATACTAAAGAATGGATTTTTCGTTCCTGACTAAATTTTCTCAAAATGGACTATACCCGTGCTTGCTCCATTCACTTGTCTCAATCTGTAGGCAGAATCCTGATCTTAACACAGGAAAAAACATACTAATAATTCTGAACTCCATTCCTGACACCTTCCATCCCATTTTAGGTGCTGCAGCAAGGAAATTTTTAGCCTACATAATCTCGCCTTCGTAGAAAAGGTTTCTTTCTTCAGTGGTCCCGGAAGAAATAAGCACCCTGCAGGTCAAGACTTTGTTAACGTTCAGCACTGGACTTAAGGTGCTGGCTCATAGATTAAAAATAAAATAAAGACAATAACAATTTTGGAAGGAGGAGGGGAGTTACAACTTGGCATGTGGTTCTGTCTTCATGCTAGGTCAGCCCAAAAAGGCTGACTTTCAGACTGGTAAATGGTGCCAAAATATTTGTGGCAGTTTCTCACATAGGCTATTGGGTTCTTGGGGTTTTTTAAGGGTTATGATGAGGTCAGGTTCATTTGTGGTAGGTCTCAAGACACCCAACCTCCTAAAATTCTACAGTTTCAAGGTAAAATACAACTGTGCAATAAAAAGTTGTTTCTTCAAAGCACCAGCAAGGGTTTTCAGTGCAGTTTAAGGGAATTTGGTTCCAGGTCCCACTACTTTAATTTTCATTTGAAATCCCTAGTATGCACACTCCTACCAAAGTTCACAGTAAGCACAGAAAATATGTATTTTATTAGCAAATTGTTCTTTTTTAACTTGAATTCTAGTGCATTACTTTTTTATTGAAAACTTCTAGCACTCAGTAACAACTGCTATAAGAACTTGAGTGTTTGAAGTCCTTTTCTGTATCATCCCAAAGCCTGGAGCTCAATGAGAGTGGAATACAAGGGGAGCAGAAATGCACCCATCACTGCGTAAGCAACCAGCTGGAGTTTTGGATCAGAAGACATTCCTGTTGCTCTCGTGCTGCACATCATCCTGGTCAGCCAGATCTTCCCTGTGGATTAAATCATCAGTGGATTTGCCTTCCCTAGGCTCAAGGATCAGCTACCTGCTACAGCTCTGTGAAGGGATGTGGAAGTCAGGTTGTGTGCAGCTGAGTT